TCAATTTTTGTCGATAACGATGGTTCTACCATCGAAGTAGACGAACACTTCCAGGAAGGAGTAGGTTCAGAGGCGGGCAGCGTAGAAGCTTCAGAGGGTGGAGTAGTGGCTACCGTAGCTCAAAAACGTAAGGCGACCAGTAGATGCCGCAGAGGCTCCCGGTCTAGGAGTCAAGTTGACCCCAATGCTCCTCCATGGGAGAAAGCGGGTCTCACAGAGGATGAGTGGAGAGATCAGTACTCACGACAGACCTGTATTCGTTATGGCCAATATGGCCATAACCCTGTCTCTTATACACATCTAGATGTGTATAAGAGACAGCACGTCGGGCCAGTAGGAATTGTAGTTGTTCCTACTAGGGTCGAGGTGGTGGAGACACCCTCACCATCTCGAGAGATGGCCCAAGCTACTGACTCCAGTGTCGTCCTGCAAACACGTTCAGACCCATCGAGCCTCTGTTCGATGAATGTGTTTGAGTCGTTAGAGGAGCTAGAGGTGGAGTGGTCTAGATCAGACCCGTTAGCTTCCTGGACGGCCCTAGTCAAAACCCCTAAGGGTCAGATATTCGCCAGCGAGGTTGTCATTGGCAGCCGCAAGGCCGGGGCCTATTATGACACTTGCTCGACTAGGAACTTTATCAGTCGCGCGTGCGTTGAGAGACTGCGCTTACAGGGGCAAGTGCAGCGCCTAAGTCGACCTGTGGAGTGGACCTGTGCCAACAAACAGCGCATGGTAGTCAATGACTACCTCCAAAATGTGGAGTGTTGTTTCCCGTACGCGGGAGGGGAATTGAGACATCGCGTCTCGTTCCTAGTGAGCGATGAACTCCCCATGGACATGTTGTTAGGTATGTACTACACCTCTGTGGCACAACCCCAGTTTGATTGGGACCGAAAAGTGGTCAAACACACTTGGCCAGGTGGAGGGACAGCCAGATTGCACAAGTTCAAAGCTAGTAGTCTGATCGAGTCCCATGGATGCATGTGTGCGGCCGCGTTCTATTACTATTATAAGCAAAATCAGGAGGAGGGTCTGTACTTAGTTTATGTCTCTGCTGCAGGCGCGCCGGTGAAAATGCCGCCGGAGATAGAGGGAGTAGTTGCCAAGTACCCTGATCTATTTGAAGAGCTGACAGGGGTTGTAGAGAGGGAGGTCGTCCACGCGATAGAGATTATCCCAGGGTCTAGCATCCCGAAGGGTAGGATCTATCGAATGTCTCCAGGCGAGCTTGATGAGCTTCGTCGACAACTCAAGGAACTCGTAGAGAAAGGGTGGATCCGACAGAGTGTCTCTCCTTACGGATCTCCCGTACTATTTGTACCTAAGAAGGAGGGCACACTTAGGATGTGCATTGACTATAGGGGCCTCCATGCCATCACTGTAAGGAACAGAGAGCCCCTACCGCGTAACGATGATCTGTTAGATAGAGTGCAAGGGTGCCGGTACTTCCGTAAGATAGATCTGAAGTCCGGGTACCATTAGATTGCAATCCGGCCTGAGGATCAGCACAAAACCGCTTTTCAGACCAGGTACGGTCCGTACGAGTTTGTGGTGATGCCTTTCGGCCTTTGCAATGCTCCTGGCACCTTTCAGCACGCTATGAATCGGATATTCCATGACTGCTTGGATAAGTTTGTCATCGTGCACCTTGATGACATACTTATTTTCAGAAAGACTGTCTAGGAGCATGTTGCACATTTGGACAAAGTCCTCAATCTATTGCAACAGCACACGTTAAAGATCAACGGTGAGAAGTGCGGGTTTGGCCGCACCCGTGTCTTGTACTTGGGCCATGAGATATCCACAGAACGGTTAAAGCCCGATGCCGCGAAGGTGGCCAGCATTCGTGACTGGCTGCGTCCTCAGTCTGTGACTGAGATGAAGTCTTTCTTAGGGATGACCGGCTACTATCACAACTTCGTGGAGAACTATAGCATAGTTGCCGCCCCTTTGACTGATCTGACCCGCCTTGACACCCCATGGGAGTGGACTGAGAGATGCGAGGCTGCTTTCAAACATCTAAAGCATGCGTTCACGCATTACGAAGTCTTGAAACTTCCTGATCCTGATAAGCCATTTATAGTAACTAAGGATGCTAGCCAATATGGCATAGGCGCCGTACTTGCACAACAGGAGGGGAAAAAGTTGAGGCCCGTAGAGTACATGTCCAAAAAGAGGCCCTCTCAGAAGTTGGCAAATTCCACTTATGAGAACGAACTCTATGCGGTGTACAAGGCTCTGACCCATTGGAGACACTATCTCCTTGGGAGGTTCTTCATCCTCAGGACTGATCATCAGACCCTGAGATGGATGAGAACCCAGCCGGTACTCTATGATGCCCTCAAGCGTTGGATCGAAGTTATAGAGCAGTATGACTCCGAGCCCCAGTACATCAAGGGCGAGTACAACAAGGTTGCTGATGCCTTGTCGCGTAGACCAGATTTCTTTGGTGCGCTGATCACTGAGTTTGGGCTTGCGGACAATGTTACTCAATCGTTGGTGGAAGCCTCTCGCGAGGACCCGTTTATGGCCGAGATCATACGCAGACTCAAGGCAAAGGACAAAGAGACTACTGTCGAGTTTGAGTTGATCAACGGCCTGCTTTTCCTTGAGAAGGCAGTGAATAAACGATTGTGTGGCCCTAATAGCGAGTCTTTGCGTAGTTTATTTTTAGGTGAGTGCCATGATGCCACCGGCCATTTCGGATACAAGAAGACTGCAGCTAATCTGGTGGCCCACAATGATGCAAGATGCCCAGCGGTACGTGGAGACTTGTCAGGTCTGTCAAAGAGACAAGCCACGTACTCAGGCTCCTCTTGGTCTCTTGAAGCCCCTTCCGATTCCGGAAAGGCCTGGTAAAGGTCTGTCCATGGACTTCATGGATACGCTAGTCACCAGCAAGAGTGGGATGAGACACATCTTTGTGGTCATGGGTAGGTTTCGTAAATATGCTAGGTTGATAGCTATGCCGAAGACTGTTAAAACCAAGTATGTAATCAGACTGTTCAAAGAGAACTGCGTCAGGGATTTTGGGTTGCCCAAGTCCATAGTGAGTCACAGGGATGTCCGATTTACCAGTGAGTTGTGGAAAGCCGCTGCTGCAGAGCAGGGAACTCAGTTGCAGATGACTTCTGGGAATCACCCAGAGGCCAACGGTCAGGCTGAGCAACTGAAACGCGCTGTACAACACCTGTTGAGGCATTACATCAAGCCCAACCAGGTGGACTGGGATGAGAAGCTTGCTCTCATCGCCAGCTTGTATAACAACGCCGTACACAGCGCCACCAAATAGCTTACTGCTAACATTTAAGCCTAGACTGCCCCTAGATTTTATTCTTCCTGAGAATCAATCCAACGCTGCACCAGGTACCTTAGAATTTGCTTATCGCTATAAACAGAAGATGCAGCAGGCTGTGGAACAGATGCAGAGGGCGCAGGCTGCAATGATAGAGCCCTGAAAATAGACACCGCCGACCTTCTACATTTCAGGTTGGGGACAGGGTCTGGGCTGAGTCTTCAGAACTGGAGCACGGTATCTCCCTCAAACTCGTGCCCCAATACTTTGGACCCTGGGAAGTCTTAGACATCGTTGGGACAGATCCGGATGGGGCATCTTATGTTATCCGGATCCCTGGTCATCTCCGAACTTACCCTGTCTTTGACGCCTCCAAGCTTGCACCTTTCAGGGAAAGAGATGAGTTTCCTTCTTGTCGCTCAATGCTGCTCCCAACCATGGATGGAGAAGTGGACATTGATGACATCGTGGATCACAGGGAGCTGCCAGTTCAGAGACCTACAGGCAGGGTACGTCCTCCGAAACCGACGCTGCAATATCGCGTTCGGTTCCGACATCATACTGATCCGAAGGAGGACCGCTGGTTCACGATGGAAGAACTCATGCAGACCACTCCTCAAGTTGTAGCTCATTATGAGAAATCTCTGCAGAAAGAAAAGCGCCCTATGATTGAAGATTGAGCTTCTGAGAGGACTGTGGAAGCTAAGGAGGAGGGAATGTGAGGCCAATGCCTCGATGCGCTTCATTCAGCCCCCATTTTGAAGCCAGTTGGCCGCCCTAAGTGAAGGCAGGCTCGACGAGACCCTCAGGGCCCTATTAACGGCCACTGCGCAACCAAGGAAATTCAGGCAGTTGCGCAGCGCCAGTTGGTTGAAGAGAACCCAGGCCCTGGGCCGCCTGTGCCAATGTATGGAAAGCAGGCCCTGGGCTGGATACGGGTACTGGGCCGAACACAGGCCAAAGGCAGTTGGGCACATGCAACCACCTCAGGCCCAAGGCCTGTTCTCGAACGTGCTGGGGCTCAGGCTAGCGGGGCGTACTGGAAGCTTCCTGGGACTGGACGCAGGCAGGCCATTTCGATATAGGAAAGGGCCTGCCTCCTCAATGGGTGTTCGGGTGCTGGCTGCATGCTGCGCAAGCGCTGCTGCGCTATTTGCTGGCTGGCGCCTACACTCTCACGGGCGAGCAGGGAAGGAGCACGCAGCCGTAGCCGAGCTGCGCTGCTGTAAGCTGGGTGTGGCGCAGGGTGGTCCTTGGGTGCTAGTGGCATCAATGGAAACTTAGTAGATACGTGATGAAAGACGGCGGAGAGAAAAAGGGAGAGAGAGAGAGAGAGAGAGAGAGAGAGAGAGAGAGAGAGAGAGAGAGAGAGAGAGAGAGAGAGAGAGAGAGAGAGAGAGAG